GGATTTGGTTAGGCCCTTTAGATCTAGAACTGTCCATACTACCCAATGTTCTAAAGTACAGTGAAAAAGATGGAATACAGATCAGGGTACCTGGCCATTTCTGAGAGTGGTTCTGTTACTCTTTATATGTCATAGATTATTCACTATTAGCCTTTTTTCCCCACACACATTTTTGAAAAAGGTGATTGGATGAACCTAGGACAGCTGCCATCATGGCTGACACCAGGGACTGAACTGGGGACTTCTAGATATAAAAGCAACTTGAGCTAAGGAAGCAGGCTCTTTATAGTTGTGGCCTGTAAACAGACTCATCTGTGGATCAGGCACAGAGCGAGACATGTAAGGCACACTGACCGGTGGGTTACAAATCTCCGGCAAGGAAGTCTCTCCAGTGTAATGATATATACTCCCTGAATCATATACCTCCAATACCCAAATGGTCATGCTTTAAACAGATGCAGGCTTCCCTTATCCAGGCTCAGCTCATCAAGAAAATAATTTGCTAGTCATGTATTCATTCTATTATTTGTGAAGTTCTGGCCAGTAATTTCAATCTATGCTATCTTGCTCTAGCACCTCTATGCCACAACTGAAGTCTGTATTGAAGGCACTTTTATTATTCTATTTTTCTTTTTATTAGAATGTTATAGATAGTTAGTTTCTCTCTAATCTTAGTGCTACTGTTTTCTCAAAAAGCTTTCCCTAAATCTCTGGGGAAAAAACCCCACAACAATAAATGCTTAGCTTAAATAACCATCTTTGACAGACAAAGGTGTCTAACTGCTGTAGAGGTACTTGTTCTAGTCATGAATATAAGTGAGCCTACTGAAGCAACAAAGAAATGCTGACACTATAGCAATTATATTCATAAGAAACTGTTTTCTAAGATTTGACCATCACAAGATCTTTTATTATATCTGTGCGTGATCTAACTGCATTGAAATAGCACCAGGTTCCCCCTCATTCATAATCCCTATGCTGTTCAGAGTTAAAACGCACCATTTCATGATCCCTGGGAAAACCGATATCCAAGTGTTCTCACCTTTGTAGACATTGCTGAAAAAAATCTGAGTAATTTAATTTATCCCTACAATTGCCCTCAGAAGTCAGGAATCCACATGCTGCTCTACTCCAATCAGAAGTGGTTCACATCTTGTGAATGATATTGTTGCTCGCAAGGATCTCTCCTAACCACTCATATTTTGATGCTGATCACCTTTTCTTTATGGAAAGGCCTCAGACACTCTGCATGGCTCCTTCCAATTGAATTAAATACATTCTACCTCAAATCTCTTCTGACTAGGAGCAAAACTAATACATTTCTCCTTATGTGTTATGTTAAGAGGGAGGCAGACCATTCACTACATTTTTTAATTTAGCTTTTATTTTTTTACCTTTTCTTGCATTTTCAAAAGCCTATATGACAGGAGTTCCATGCTATCATCTCATAACAAAAGCAAATGCAAAATAAATGTATACTGCCACACAAGCAGATCCAATAAATTTAAATGCTACAAATTAAACAGAAATTATACATGGTGCATAAGACAGCCCTTCCTCCGGATCACCCTTCATAAATCATTTCCATTCCATAAGGTGTTGACCATACATCATGGATTCTTTCCCCTTTTCATATCCCTTATATTGCCTCTTATGAGCTATTAACATGCTTTTCCTCCCTTCTAAGCCCAAATATTGCAATTCAAGTCCGAAGCGTGAACCAGTGGTAACTGGAGTGATTTAAAAAAATTAAAGCAAATAAAAGCTATCAGAATATTACCATATTGTGTTGTATATCCTCTAGTGATGCTATTTAAATATACAGTAAGCAAAAGTTTCATAATAGCAACTGCACTTAATGTAATTCATATACAAAGGAAACACGATGTTTCTACTCTTTACGGCTTGATCTTGATCCTGCACCATGAAGTCAATGGAAATTTGGGGCCTGGATCATGAATGAGGCATCTGGGTGTTGTTGTAATATAAATATTAAATAATAGTAATAACATTTATTTCAATGGGAGCAGGATTTGTCCCTATTTGATTACGCCTAACAGGCACATTTTTTGCAGAAGTTACTTAATACCAATCCTGCAGTCCTTATTCGGTGAAAACTCCTTTAAGTGTGTTAAAAAGGAAATTCAGCCAAATCTTATCATGAAACAACAACTACTAAATAGGATAACTTTGCAGTTACATTTATAAAAAAAACTCACAAAGCACATCACTACATGAAAGATAATTTGCATGCAATAATTTCTGTTGAAAAGAAGGAAAATATGAAATAATCTTCTCCCATTATGTAGCAAAAGCCTGTCATTTTGAAATTCATTTTGGCTCCCAGAGTATAAATACACTCCAGTATTCTTGTGGGCAATGCCAGAAAATCAGCAAGCACTCATTGTCTTCTGCCAACAAAAGTATGACTCTCTGTGCAGGAATTTTCTTGCACATTTGAAAACAAAGCCATTTAGAAAGTTCACTCTTGTTGGTAGGATATGACACTGATATATATTCAACTGTGCTATAAAATAAAGCAGATGCTAAGATACTGATTTATTAGGGGCAGTGAATATTACACAGCAACTCTATTTAAACACAACTTTTTTTCAGTTAAAAAAATCTATTGCAAACACCACTTAGAAGTAATACATGGTATTAACGATTAAGTAGTATATGCACGAGTTAAAATTACAATGCTCTGAGGCAGGGGTTCTCAAACTTCATTGCACCATGACCCCCTTCTGGCAACAAAAATTACTACACAACCCCAGGAGGGGGGAATGAAGCCTGAGCCTGCCCGAGTCTCCCTCCTGGGTGGGGAGCCAAAGCTCACAGGATTCAGCCCCAGGTGGGAGGCCTGTAACTTGAGCCCCGCCAGGGCTTTGGCCTTGGCCCTGGGTGGTGGAGCTTTGGCCCTAGCAAGTCTAATGCCAGCCCTGGTGACCCCATTAAAATGGAGTTACAACCCACAGTTTGAGAACTGCTGCTGTGAGGAATTAATCTTGGAGTAGTGCCAAAAAAAGTACAGTTAGGTTGAAGGAATAGTGACAGTTGCAAAGTCTGATATATCACAACCCACTAGGGTTAGAAAATATAGTAATGTACTTTTGCCAATGGATAGCTTTAATTTTCAGCTTCACACTGGACATAAAATACTCCTAGCTATCCTCGACAAATCACAAGATCAGAATTCAAAATCTCATCATTGCTTTTAAATCAGTGGTGTCCTCCCCAATCCTGGGGCTGTTGTGGTCTCACGTAGAACAGTGCGAATAACAGATTTTTTTTTCAGTTGTCTGGCAATTTTCCAAAAAATTGGGGGGAAAATATTAGTTTTGTGTCAACCCAAAATTGAAGTTTTACAGACTATTCCATGAATTCGGGGGGAAAAAAATGTAAAAATTTAGTTTCAAGTTGGAAAAAAAAAATAAAGAAAACTTAAAGCAAACAAAAAGATGTTTCAAAACAAAAAATCAAAATGTTTTATTTTGAAAATGTCAAAATGAAATGTTTTGACTTTTTCAGGTCTTCCTCACTCCCCCCAAACTGAACAATTCAGGGAAATAGATAAGTTTGCAAACCATTTTGGCGTTCTATATTTTTTTCAACGAAAAATGTTTTGGCCAAAATATTTCACCCAGCCCCTGTCCCAAACTGCAAGTTACAACAACATGAAGGCTTTCCTAGTTTGCACCAGTTAACTACAAAATGCCCCAGGGGGCCACTTGGGCAGCTGCAGATTGCCAGGACACAAGAGAGCTCTGGCCACTCCCCTTTCTTCCCAACTACATTCCTCATGCAGGTGGCCATAAAATAGGTATCTTAGGCAGGGAGAATCCTCCACAGGTTGGAGCTGATGGCTTTAAGGCTTCTTCTCACTACCGAGAAACACAAAGCAGCCCCAACATACTGGAGAATTGGGACTAATATTTCAGAAACTGCTGTAACTAGAGGTCATTTACATAATTTAAAAGCTGTATTCTACAGCTTTCTGTAGCATTCTCAAGACAGTATTTACCAGTTTTCTATCACTAGATGTTCTTATCTTAGAACTGAATTAGGGAAAACCAAAAGAATTACAGGATTTTAAGTACCTGTATCTTGTGACCTGCTAGGAATAAAAATATTTTGGAAGAGAACAGTTAGTTCTCAGTTCTTATTTACCTGGGACCCAGACAGTTCATTAGGGGTTAAATACATGGCCTGATCTACACACACATTTCTGTGCTCTCACTGAATTTTAGGATCTCATTTAAGAATACAAAATACATCCTATGGTTAGGCACAACAGACTGAGCAAAGGGTAGGCTTGAGGTAAAACTGTATTTTTGGCTTTCATAAATTTAGGTGAATCCTGAGGTTTTTACTAAATTTTCCATTAGTCAAATTTCCATTAAAGTCAATGGGAGTTTATCTGACTAAAAACTGAGAAAAAAAAAAAAACATACTAAGGACCTCAAGATATGGTTCATGGAAAAGTACCCAGCTAAGTCACACTTCTTGTATAATAATATCTAAGACACACAAAGGGATTAATTTCTCCAGATTACAGTTAAATCATTATGTAAGTAGTTAGTGGAGTCCAAAAACTCCTAGTTTATAATCCTTCCATCCTGACTACTAAGAAGATCATTCTTTGTCCACAAAAAAATACCCTCCAGCTTCTGAGCAGAGTAATAATGTGATTGAGAATACATGCCAAAATGCCAAAATAAACACATTACAGGAGAACAAATCTTGATTTAACGTTTTTTTCCTTGTTTACATTTCCAATTTGGGAGAAAAGCCTGGGTTGAGATTTTCAAAGATGACTAAATTAGTCAGTCACATAACTCCCCTTAATATCAATAGAAGTTGTGTGGCTCCCTGATCAGCTTGAAAAATTTCATCATTCATTTTTAAAAATTGTTAGGGTATCCCTTAGATAAAAGGGAAAAAGTGACCCATAAATTGTATCAAACCATTTATGATGTAATTAAAATATCTTGTCTTACCTCATTAAATCTTGTCACGAGATCTTCAATAACATTGTGTTCACCATTTTGGGAGGAAAGAATAGTCGCAGATATGGAAGCTTTAATGCATGGAAGTTTGCTCTGACATTCAGCATTACCCAAATCCCTGGTTAAGAAGCAGAGGTAGTCAATGGGCAAGATCTTTCGGTAGAGATCCTGTTCCTGTTCAGTCAGAATACTAGCAACCTCCTCTGGGAACTGAATGAGGTGCTGAAGTTCTACTAGCTCTTTACTGATACCAGCTACACTGGAGGGGAGCACATTTGAACCAGCCATAGATGTGCACGGTTGACGTTCTAAAATAAAACAAAAAAAAATATTATGTTGCGTCTTTCCTTCATCTATTACACTTGATTGTGCAAAAACATATTAAGACTGAATTTTTTTGTTCTTGTACATTGTTTATTTACTTAAACAACAACACAGGATTTCACATTTTATATTTAAATAACCTAATAAGTTGTTCTAGTGGTGACTCTTCTCATATATATTTACAAAACACTACCTTCTAGAGTTAATTAGGTGGGTGGAGACCTGGGACTTTGGGGATCACTGAGACTATTGATTTAGGCAAAATTTGCCTGCTTTTATTGTTACTGTGTTCCACAACCCTTCCCCTCTGTCTGTTTCATTCACATGTTAAATCTTGTCATGATCATAAATAAGGTGTTCTGTAGAGCAGGGACTGCCTTTATTTTGCTTGTCTGTACAGCACCGAGCACAAAGGGGCCCTGGTCATTGATTGGGGCCTCTGGGCATCATTGCAATATGAATAATGTATAGCAATAAATCAATACCTATGTGATATTTTTTCTCCCTTTTTCCTCTTACTACTAACACTGCTTAGAAGTTATTATTCATTTGCATTCATTGTACTTTTTCATACAAGAAAATGTCCAAAGATAAAATACAGCTTTCTTTCCTCCGAAGAAAACATGCATATATTTGGAAGGGTATGTATTGTATCTGTCACTATAAAGACAGGTTTCAGAGTAGCAGTCGTGTTAGTCTGTATCCACAAAAAGAACAGGAGTACTTGTGGCACCTTAGGGCTGGTCTACACTTACCCCCCAAATCGAAGTAAGGTACGCAAATTCAGCTAGGTGAATAACGTAGCTGAATTCGACATACCTTACTTCGACCTTACCGCGGTTCAGACGCAGTCCACACGGGCGGTCAGGCTCCCCGTCGACTTCGCGGTACTCCTCTCGCTGAGCTGAAGTACCGCAGTCGACGGGGATCACTTCCTGGTTCGAATTATCGCGTCCAGACCAGACGCGATAAATCGAACCCGGAAGTTCGATTGCCAGCCGTCGAACTACCGCGGTAGTGTAGACAAGCCCTTAGAGACTAACAAATTTATTTGAGCATAAGTTCTTTTCACTATAAAGGAGCTTCACAATAGATTTATAATTTACAAACAGTGGTGTTTCTTGACATATCTTTTACTTAAACATCTTTTCATAGGAACAAATTCTGATTTTGCACAAATGGAAAGTATTGCTTGTGCTGTCTAATCAATCAAGTTAATGACTGATCCCAATTCATTCCCTTATTATGAACGATATGCACTCATCTAAGCAAAGGTCATCATCGACATATAGGTAGCCAAAAAGTCATTAAATGTCAAAGTATACAATTATGGAAGTCTTAAACTACAGAACTTCTGGTTTTAGTGACCATTAAGTTTTGAGAAAGCATCCCCTTCTCATCCCATACTTGGTTGTCCGGCTATACCGCAAGAAGGACAGGAGACACTTGATATGGATTTAATCACGCTGCAACTTTATTATTAGAAGTCTGGGACAACAGCAGATAAAAGTGTACAGTGCAGGCAACTCCATGTTCATTCAGTAACTACCCGGGGGCTTCTGCCAGCCCCCCTTCATTTTCCATCCAACCCCTGGCTTGGATCTTACCAACCCCCCACCCCTGCCAGAGGAGGGTTAAGGTGGACTATAAGAAAGGGGGGTCAGCTCCCTGCCATACCAATCATAGGAGCCCTGAACGTCGTTCCCCCCCCCCCCCCCCTGCTCCATTCCTTTAACCCACCCCCCTTTTAAAGTCCTTTACTGGGCCACTTATCTGGTCACTGAATGCTTTCCCTACGGAATATCTGCACTGGACATCCGCCCCACACTTACCAAATAAGTTATGGCATATAGCCCAACCTTCTTTCCTCTTCACCATTATAAGCCCTCCCTGAAACCATTGTGGGGAAGACGAAAAAAGTCCTCCACCTAGGCCAGGGGTGGGCAAACTTTTTGGCCTGAGGCCCACATTGGGGTTGCAAAACTGTATGGAGGACCGGGTAGCGAAGCCTGTGCCTCCCCAAACAGCCTCGCCCCGCCCCCTATCCACCCCCTCCCACTTCCTGCCCCCTGACTGCCACCCTCAGAACCCCCGACCCATCCAACCCTCCCTGCTCCTTGTCCCCTAACCGCCCCCTCCCAGGACCCCCCACCCCTAACCGCCCCCCCAGGATCCCACCCCCTATCCAGCCCCCCTGCTCCCAGTCCCCTGACTGCCCCTCAACCCCTATCCACACCCCCACCCCCTGACTCCCAGGACTCCCACGCCTATCCAACCCCCCCATTCCCCATCCCCTGACCGCCCCCCCGAACCTCCGCCCCTTATCCAACCCTCTGGCCCCGGCCCCCTTATCATGCCACTCAGAGCAGCATGTCTGGCAGCTGCGCCGCCCAGCCAGAGCCAGACACGCTGCCGTGCTGCTCTGTCCAGAGCACTGTCCACGTGGTGGCATGTCTGCGGGGTAGGTGGGACAGTGGGGGAGGAGCCGGGGGCTACCCTCCCTGGCTGGGAGTTCAGGGGCCGGGCAGGAGGGCCCCGTGGGCCGTAGTTTGCCCACCTCAGACCTAGGTCAATATGGTGGTGAGGGAAAAATTCCTTCCCAGACCCCCTAAAAAGGAGCGACTAGCAAAATGCCCACAGCAGGTCCTAACCAAACCTGGTATTCACAACCTTCAGGGGAGGGAGGCTGGGTGCTGCTTTGCGAGCTGAGTGGAAAAAGGGCTTCTAACATCCTGGCGTGCCCATTTTAACCCTTCCCATTTACATTCCCAGGGCATGAGCCAGTGTCACCTGCTGACCCTCACCTCTCTTTTTGATGCAGCTTCTGACTTCCTCTTATCCCCCCCCACCCCCAACCCATAAAGCACTGCTACCTTTCTTCCAGCAAGCCTGGACAACATACCCCATTCACTCTTTGCATCAGGATCATCTCATCTATCCATTGTGCTGAACAATTATGAAAGGTTCTGAGATTCAGTTAGAGTAAGCTTTCAAATGCTTATCCAGACTAATTGCATTCGGCCTTTTTAGGATATAAACATGCTAAAATTAAATATATGTTAGTTTCACATCAGAGGGATGTTGCAAGGATTGATTAGTTAATGTTTATATAGTACTTTGAACATGTAAAGTGCAGTCATTTATTAATTATTATTATGATCAATTACAGAGAAGAAAAAATGAGCTAATTATCTTCCTTTTTCAAGTGGGCAGAGATCAGGGTGTGAAGAAAAGGGCTGGTTATGTTGGTAGAAAAGACTAATTTGAAGTAAAAAAAAAAAAGGGAGCTGAGAATGAGTTGTGGGTACAGATACAGGAAATGCAGGTGTACCTCTTACATGGAGTTGTCAGCTCATGATACTGACTGGTTGAAGACAGGTCTCAATATTTAACCCAAAATATTCCTCTGAAGAGTGAAGGTACTAGTTGTATATGAGAATCTTTTTAACTGTTGGTGACTGCTTCATAACTTCTTCCTAGCATTAGAGGACTCATTGGTCATCCTAATCTTATGCTGATAGACATGAGGAGAGGTTACATACTTTACACTGAACTTGAGTTCTTGGAGAGGTTTTGTCCCTATGAGTGTTCCAACATAGTATGCTTGTATGCCCGTGCACTCAGTTGGAGAATGAAAAGCAGTGTCCACAGGCCTGTGCCTGCACCAAAAGCAATTCTTGTCTCCAAATGAGGGCATATAGGGAAATGCAGTCCTGCCACCACTCAGTTCCTTCTCAAAAATGAAGCAGAGCCCTCACAGCCAAGAGGAAGGAAGGTGGGTATAGAACCCATAGGGATAAAACATCTCAAATAACTCAAGTCACTGTAAGGTAAGTAATATCTCTTCAAGTATATGGCCCTATGGGTGCTCCACCATAGGAAAGTCCCAAGCAGTAACTCAGCAAAAAGGTGGGTGCAGAGTTTGCAAGTCCAGTTTGGAGGACTGAGACACCAAATGTAGTATCTCTGGAAGCAGTTAAGATGGCATAATGCCTGGAAAAGGTATGGATGGAAGATCATTTTGCAGTCCTACAAATGTCTTATGGGAATGTCCTTCAGTGGAGCCATAAATGTGGACTGAGCTCTTGTGGATTGTGCTGTAACTCTGAGGCAGCTGCATCCCACTGGATTCATAGCAAGTTCAGATGAAACCCTAAACCCACCTTGACAGTCTTGAGTGGAAATAAGTTGACTCTTCATTCTCTCAGCAAATGATACAAAGAGCCTCGGAGAGGCCCAGAAGATCTTAGTTCTGTCATGGCAGAAGGAGAGGGCCCTTCTGACATCTGGCATATGTAGGCTGGTCTCCTCTCTGGAGGCATGAGGTTTTGGGTAGAACACTGGCAGCCAAATCACTTGATTAATGAGATATTCTGAAGAGACCTTTGGGAGGAAGCGAGGATGGGACAAGGTGTAACTCTGTTTTTATAAAAGGTGTTATTTGGCAGGTGAGCGCTCCCATTCATCTAACTGAAGCGATGTATAAGGAACCAAGTCTTGAGATAGAGGTGGAGGAGAGAACAGGAAGCTATCAGTTCAAAGGAAGGTTTCCTCAGGGTGGAAAATACTGTGGAAGCATATGGAGTATCCCACATCAATCACCTCCAAAATCCATCTGTCCAAAATAGTCTGTTTCCAGTCAGGGAGGAAATGAGATTGCCGATCTCCAAAGGGGGGACGGATGGAATTGTTCAGCACAGGATCCAGGAAAGTAGATTGCTTGAGGTCTTCGACCAAGATGTCAGAACTGTTTCTTAGGGTATGTCTACTCAGCAAAGAAAAGCCCGCAGCTGGCCCATGCCAGCCAACTCAGTCTGTGGAGCTGTTTCATTGCTGTGTCCCAGAGCCCAGGCTCCAGCCTGAGCCTGGAAGTCTACAAAGCAATGAAACAGCCCCACTGCCCTATCCCTGCAAGCCTGAGTCAGCTGGCATGGGCCACCCATGGGTTTTTCTTTTCTGTGTATACATACCCTTAGAGGGAGGT